TTAGTTTAAATTAGTGAGTACAACGTAAGACAGCATCTAACAACAGTGAAGGCACTGAAGGCAAAAGAAAAAACAGAATAGAAATGGTCCAGTTAGATGTAGCCACACAAAAGAGTTCTGGGTAAGAAAGGGCCAATTTGCCCTGTCATGTGTAGACATTCTACGATAGAAGTTGCCCCTGAAGTTGTTTTTGGGACTATGTTATCTGTCAGTCACCAGAGAAGTAGCAACCACTCAAATGGTCAATTCTGATGATCACAATGACTTCTTCTGGGTACACAAGAACATGCAGCAGAACCCTGGAGATAAATCTGAATTTCAGGCCTCATAGCAACACTATTCTTAAGAGCTCTTCAAATCAGTTACAGAAAACACTAATATAGTCTCAAAAGCTTCACCAACTTGCTTCAACCAATGAGGACATTTAAATACACTTTTACTCAGCACCACCCCTCTGTTTTTCTGTTATTTAAAAAAACCAAAGACGACATCCTTTCACCATCTCAGTTTAAATCAACACTAGAATTGCAATTGCTGGGCCTGATTAGTTTCCACAGTGCAGCCATATCTGAGTGTCTTCTCCCATCTTATTTGCTGCATACTCATTGCTAGTGTTCAACATGGAGTCACAGGGCTACACTTCCTGTTGGGTGCCAAAGATGTAATGAGCTTTTGTTTTTTTTCCTTGGTGCATTTAGAAATCTTCAAGGGAATAAATGTTAAAGGGAAACAATGAAGGCAAGGGAGAAAATTGAATATTATGTGTATGTATTTGTATCTTTAAAGATATATATCCTAGAGAATAAGGGGGGGGGGGAAGAGGAGGGACCAAAAAACAATTGCACTAGTTACTAAGTGAGGAAATATGCAAGAAAAGATGTGCTCTGTCATATTTTGAAAGTAATTTTCATTATGACCTTTATAGATAGGCAAAGAACAAAACACAAAATGAAATAAAGAAACAAAAACTATTTATACTAAAAATAATCTACTATCAAAAATACAAATCCAAAACAATTAAGTAAAAAACACATAACTGCTCTACTCACTATTGCCAATACAGGCAATAAGGGGGAGGGGAGAATGGGAGGTATGTCGTATATCGATCATCAATTTTGATTAGGTACCCATTTATCCATGCAAAGGACTTGGGGCCTAAACAGTACCATGAAAAAATATATTTTAAAAGCATGCACTGTATTCCCTAACCACTACCCACCTAAACAACCCCCCTTGCCCCACCCAAAAAGAAAAAACACCCCCCCCCACAAAACCCTAAGTTATAAAATTATTGCCTCTATAGGCAATGAGGAAAAGGGAGCATGGGAGAGTTATCATACGTCTGGACCTCCAAGTTTCATTATATATCTAAGAATCCCAGCAAAAAACTGGTGCTATATGGAATAACATATAGAATGTAGCAATTATTTATATACATTAAAAATATATGTACACCCAGAACCCCCCCCAAAGCTAACAAAAGATAAGTAAACAAAACATCTAGTCTACCACTGCCCACCAGGCAATGAGGGATAGGGGAGTGTGGAGAGTTTTCATAGAATCAATCTCAGTGTTCATTAAGTACATATTTAAAAAAAAATAGTCACACTAAGGACTAGGTTCAAAATGAAGTTAACATCACAAGGCATCTGCAACCTAATATATAAATATATATATATTAGACATGGTTACCTTTTTCCTAACAAGCTGTGTTATCAGCAACAAACAGACAAACAAGAACACAAGCCCTACAGTATCACATACTACTACACTATGGCACAGGTGAAAGATGTTCTGTGCCTCTGAGTGAAATAATGAAATAACTGTTGACAAACTTTTAAATACATTTAAATAAGTAAAAACCCAGAAGCCTTTCACCTCATACCCCCATGCCAAAGCTACACAACTACTCTATAAGCCATTGCCCAGACAGGCAATGAGGGAAGGGGATGGGGAGATTTTTCATAGAATGAACCTCAATATTTCTTATGTACCTAAGTGTCCACAGACAGATTTAGGTACAAATGAAGTAACAACAAAAGATTTAAAAATTCGTATTTACATTTAAAAGTATATACATACCCGACCCCTCCGGGTGGAACATAGTTAGAAAGACTATGCTACTCTACAATTGCCCACAGAGGCAACGAGGGAAGGGGAAAAGAGGAAGTTTTCATACATCCGGACCTCCACATCTCATTAGGTACTTACATGCCTGTGTAAAGGACTCAGTACCAAATGAAATAACACAGTATAGAAACAAAATTATATACAATTGTAAGAGAATATCTTCCGCCCTTAGTCCCCCCCTAAAGCTAAGGAAAAAAAATAAATAAATAAAAAGAAAATCCTTCCCATATGTATGGAATAAGAATGGCAGGCAGCACACTAAATTCAGAGCTCCATGGGTTGTCAGGAACGGATAAACCCAAATTCAGGACAGGTACCCATTGGAAAGCAGTGGCCAAGAAGCAAAGGCACATAGCAAAAACACAGTGGAAGCATATGCCAGCCCCCCACCTCCAATAGCAGCCCCAAAGCACCGCCTGTGCTACTTGACACTCCTTGCATGTTCAACGTAAGAAAGAGACCTCTTAGAGAGATCCCCCACTTTCCTCATAAATCCATGGAAAGGTTAGGGAAAGCAAGGAAGCAAAAATGCAGCAACAACATGTTTATACACTTAAAAAGTATATACTACTGCCCCCCCCAAGTTACTTTTCCAGCCTAGCAAAAGCCAGCCAGCCAGCCAGCCAGCCAGCCACCAAAACTCAAAATCTAACTTCCAAACAACTCAAACTACTTTAAAAAGTATTACACCCAGGCAATATTGGAAAGGGAAAGAGGACAGTGTCATACACTGAACTCCACTGGTACCTTCCACTCTGAGCACCCAGTGAATTAATAGAACATGTAGTAAGAATATATATACAGACATTAAGTACTTCCCTGTACCCCCTACACTCCACTCATACAGCCATTCTATCGGACATTAGGTATTTTCACATGCATTTCAAGGGTACAGGACCAAATGACATTAGTAATAAAAAGTCACAGCAAGCACTATTCTACTCTCTTCCACACTCTCCCAAACAAAACAGTTATTGCTTTAAGAGGCAACAAGGAAAAGGGAAGAATCTGTCATATTCAATCACAATGGCAATTAAGTTATCCACATAAGGAAAAAAGAGTCTAAGTGAATATACAAAATGTAGCATTGCATTTATAAATGTGCTTGAAAGGATGAGAGGCGACCTAATGTCCTCAGATTAGAACAAAACAGTAGGTGCTATTACTATTCTGTTATTGCCAATGCATCCATGAGGAATTGCATGGTTTATGTACAGGTCCACGAGAATGTACAGAGGGCAGCATTAAGTAAGTTATGTCTACACTTTTAAAAGAAGTTACCTTGCTCCCCTCCTGAAACCCACCACATCCTTTCAAAAAGTAAAACCAAATTACTCTATAGCTGTTACCTACAGGAGGCAAAACAGGAATAGGAGAAACTATCAGAAAGCAGTATTTCACTCTTTACCAGGACAAAATCTGTAAAGTAAAATACAAAAACATAAAAACACATGTGTATGTTTCAAAAGTGTATATTACCTCCCCTCAAAAAAACTCTCACAAACCCTCTAGAATCAATCACGTCTGCTAATTATTGCCCAACCAGGCAGTAAAGGATATGGAAAAGAATAGGTTTGTCATACTTTGAGACCTCCACTTTTCATTTTGTACTTCTTTGACATTTCAGAAATTAAGGAACAAAATAAAAGAACACAAAACCCAGAAAAATATATACTTGAGTCTTAAGAACTACAAATGTAAGAAGACAGAAGAACATTTTCAAAAAAAAAAAAAAAAAAAGAAAAGAAAGAAAGAAAGGAAAACCATTCTGTATAAATGAAAGTAAGACGGTGTAGGGGGGAAGAAGGGAATATACATTATACCTATTGTCCCAATTCTTAGAGGCCTATATAAAACAACCCATTCCTATCTGTGAACTCAGCCTGGGACTGCAGTCCTCGGCAACAGTGCACCTGAGATGTACTGTGCCATCCCTAACACCAATGAAACACATAGTTGTATGTAAGTGCTTTTCAATCTGGCTGAAGATTATCATTCTAGGTGCTTTACATTACATAAACACCTTCAAAAGCAATTCAACAACAGGCTATCAATCATGCAACAAACACAAGGCTTAATTTTAACTTCTTGCTTCCCAAAATCAATCAGAAAGGATTGATTTGTTTTTTATACCCAGGACTCTTCTGGAAGCTCTTGTTCTTATGGTGGCTAAAGTCTCATAAAATAATATGGCAAAGAAAACCAGTTCAGTAGAAACTGTGATAGCAACAAAGTTTGTAAACACTGACAAATACAATATCATTTTTAAAGACAACATGAGAAAAAAGAAGGCACAGTTTCTGGGGGGGGGGGGGCTGCCACTACTTTATCCTATCTAATTACATATTAGCACAGATTTATCTCCTCCATTTCCTAACTTTCAGATCTCCAAATTAATTTTTTCCACAAATGTAGATTTCCAATTCTATTTTTCCTAGTAATCAAGATGTGCATTTCACATTACATTCAAGTACACCCTCTCTCTGTAGTAAACTGAATTCTCATTCAACTGCTACCCAATAATGTCAGGTATTTGTTAGCACATACCCAAAGTACAAGCTTACTTCATAGAAGTACAGAATACAAGGTAAATTTCGGAGGAGGGTACTTTGAGCACTACCAGTATTCTTATCAAACTATAAATGCTACCGTTAGCCTTACATTCCTGACTCTGAGTTAGCTGTTAAGAAGTTACACATAAATGGGCTAACAAAACATGAAAATTTACAGAAATCTGTGGGGGAAATTAAGAGGAAGCCTATCAAAATTAGAAACAATTGAGGTGAAGATTATAAGTATGACAGAAAATATTATGGCTCCAGTATCCTGGGAATGAACAGCTTCTGACAGCAGTGAACCAAGAATTACTATTTTGTTTTAAGCACACACCCTTCATAAGGCTTTATTTACAACACTGCACATCACACACATTCACACTCATACATGGAAAAAAGTGTTATTTAAGACAAGATTTGCCATATGCAGAGTTACTAGATTTAAGATCAATCAAAGATGGGCAGGTAAATCTCAAGATTGAACTTATCTTGAGAAGTAGCAAAAGTTAAACTCTGTATCAAAGTAGAATTTAGTAATACAACATGGTAAAAAAACCAAAAGAGGCAACCAAAACCCACAAGAGTATTTTTCCATCACTCTAAAAATACAAAACCCCACTAACCTTCAATATCAACTACACTGTCATTCATTTACCAAAAGCACAAGAGAAATAAAGATCTAAAATTAACTATTTCAGGAGGATATCAAGATGATTCTGTGATTCTCAGGAATAACATTTTCTACTGAAAAACACAAAAATGTTTAGAAAAGACAAAACTGGGAGCAAACACTAGGGCCGAAGCAGGCTTTATCCAGTCTATCAGCCATTAAAGTCTTGTTATATAAAAATATTTTCATAAAATAAACTATAACTTTGTATTCAACTCCACATGTTCTAACTTTACAACAGCTGAATAAAAAAGTGGCCTTTGTATAGTCTGACTCTGTGGAGTGTTTTCAGGGTTTACAAATGAGCGACTCCCTTTTTATATACACGGGCAGTTTTCAAACAAATATAGAGTTCTTGTGAGTTATTAAGAAGAAAATTTCTCTCCTAAGAATCAAAGAAACAAAACAATCTAGGAATAAGTCTGCATAGCTCAAAAAATTCAAGTACAGTATTTCTCCTTCAGAAGGAGTGAAAACGCCCGCACACTGCTCTGGACACCTTCCCTTACTTCTCCTTTGCTTGATTCTTGGCCTCTCTGTTTAACATTAGTTTGGCCATAATTAAAAAAAAAAAAAGTTTTTTTTTTTTTTCCCCAACTAAACAAAAGCACTGTTTTTAACAGTGAAAAAGTAATTCATAACCCAACCAACACATTTTCAACTTACTCCTTTTCCACATTCTCACTGTCCCTTTAAGGTACTATGGTGAACTTCAAAATAAAAAGTTTAATTTCTTGAGAAATGCTTCTAGTATATACTGTAACAAAGTAAACACACACACGTGGTTATGATTCACAGAGAAAAGGGTATGATTTGTTAGGTCAAAATGCAACTTAAACAAATTATATTCTTGGTGGGAAAATAATGGCAAAAACACCAGTGCTTAACAGAAAGCTTGCCAAAGCATAGAAATACTCCTCTATAGCAAAAAGTATACCTAAGTAGGACTAACCAGGTGTATAAAGTTGGGAGGTACTGGGATTCATGGATAAAATAATTAACATTAACTCAATTCAGAACACCTCTCTACAGTAGTGCCATAAAGATGAAGCAGAAAGTGTTAAATATTTGGAAAACTGAAATTTTCTGCCTGTTTATCTGTTCAATTTAACAGAAACAAGAAAAATTTTTAGAACCTGGTTATTCTTCAGGATAAATTATAATATAGATATAAACCATTTTAAATGACCCCCCCCCAACCACCAATAAGGGCAGACCTGCACACCTGAGGTCAGTTTTCTACAACTTCATCTTCAATGTCTTTGTTACTGGACTCTTCCAGGCTAACTACCACATACCATATGCATCTATCAACAAGAAACAACAAAGAGCTGACCAATTAGCAACCTGCAAATATGGTGGCTCTTATAGCAGACTCTCCTTGGTTGCACTGTATCAGTAACTCTCTGGACACTAAGAAATAAAACAATTTCAAATAAGACTATTTTTCTCCATTTGTGTGTCCAAAGAAAATTACTCATTGTTTTTGTATATGGTTGGCATGTAGGTGAATATAATTTTATAATAAATAACTACTTACTGCCTAAAGATATTTCAGAAAAGACATGAAAAACATAATTGGGCCCTGAGCTTACTAGAACTCCTAACAGTGCAAACAGCTCAGTAGCAGGCCTGCCTTCACTTCAACCTTTGCAAAAGCAGCAGAGCCGTGGGCACCAACCAGATGGTCAGCTGTGAGTGCTACAGCCACAATGTCAGAGTTTTCAGATGCCTTGACATCCACTGGATATTCAGCTGAATAACTTCCAAAGCCTCCTGGACACACCGAAGCTGCAAGGTTGCCTCTGACTGATTTTCAAAGAATGCTTGGACCTGCAAGTTCCATACACAAGCATTTTACAGAAGGAAAGGCCGAAGCTCCCCTGATAACCTTTTGAAATAAGTTTTAACCTAGTGATGGTGGTCCCAAGGTCTGACACCTTGGAAATAGCAGCGCTATACTTTAACAGCCAAAGTATTTACATCAATCAAATGTAGTAACAGCTGAAGTGATTTTTCAAAACAAAATCAACTTTTCTTTACTGCTAGTGCCTCTTCTCCTGTGTCTATTACTTCTTCTTTCCTTATTATTTCTTAAAATAGAAAAAAGAACTCTGAAGAAAAATGAATCAATCTAAAATTAGGTTTGATAAATAAATGCACATTTTGAATGAAATGCCTCAAAATTATTACTTAAATTACCTGTATTGAGGAGACAGCAAGTAGTGATGAGAACAAAACCAGAATTTCACCTCTTTACAGGCAACCATTTAAAAATAATCTCAAAGCAGAATCATTAACATTGACAAAAGACAGAAGGGACAGGAATTAGCATGAAAAGCCTCCATTCCACTTAAATAGTGCAGCCTAAGGGGAGGGCCATGCAGCTTCTTGCTAGCATTTTGTACAACCAACCTCAGACAAATGTGCTTGTGTTGAAAACAAGTGAGTTGATCCAGCAACGATACTTTGCATGGTATAGGAGCCCAAATGGAACCTAAAGAAACACAAATATTAAGAGAGAAAATGAAGCAGCTGCTAACAACCAAAGCACTGTTCTAGAGCATAAAGGAAATGCTTTTCCTCTTGGATATGTAGCCCAGAAGTTGGGGCATCTTTACACACTATTGCCACTGGGCAGGAAAGGAGATAGGAGCTTGGGGTACTCAGCTAGAATCTCAATCCGGTTCTCAAAAATCATCTATAATCAAAAAAAAAAAAAAATCATTATTGCTTTTAAAGGAGGAGGAAGCACCTGCAGATGCTACCTAGCTAAGTGTGATTCCTTAATTGATCCCTTGGCAATCAAGAAATAGTTCTAATACATATAACTAAACAACTATTCTGAAGTCGTCCAGAACTATGCTAGTAGCTTGCCAGGTGTACCAGGCCTTGATAGCATTTCAATGGACATCACTGCTAAGTGCAATGCTTCTAAATATAGAAAGCTGTTGCTTAAAAAGTGCTTCCCCACTTAGGGTACATCATAACCCAGAGCGCCAGCAAAGCACTGGGAGCCTTTTGCAAATGCATAGACTGAGGATATGAAATTCAATCATTCCCCAAGAAACTTACTTATGTACAAGCTTATTCCAGTTTTCTTTAACAAAATCCCATGCCAGCAAGTGTCCAGGAAAGTGTCTGCCCACTGTTCTGATGATAAGTGACAACTTCTGTGTTCGGATGATATCACCATCAAGGCTACTTTTCATTAACCTGTGAAGAAAACAGACTTAACCTTCAAAATAACTGTTTTTGAAACGATAGCCAAACTTGTATTAGCCTCTTTATCAATTCAAGATAAATCAGGTTGAACTAGGCTAAGATTAGTACACAAGTTAAAATCAGTCAATTATTTTACTCATCATGATAAACATACTCATGTTATTACATGATTTACAATATATCAAGGAAAAAATTCTGCAACTTAACAAATTTTAAAAACTAGCATATTTTCTAGTTTTCCAGGTCAAAAGTACGTAGCATGTATACTTCTGCATGTAAACTCACAGACCTAACTGATACTACTAAAAGATAGAGAAGAGTAGGACAAAGTGAAGGGTCCTAAGAAATATTTTCACATTTTACTCTCTACGCTCAAGTGCTTTTTGCATATTTATAAGGGGAGTTTATAGTGTACTGTGCTAAGGTCAGAGGCTAGCCACTGCCTTAAAGATAATGTTTATAGGGTATCATTTGGAAGTGGGTCTGGGCAGGAGTCAGGGATGTCTCTGGGACACTGTTAGGATGTAGCTGAGTGAACATATATAAGAGAAGCAATGAAGGTAAGATGCTCCCTCTATCCCTGGTATGGCTTTCATTGTCTATGTCCTAAGGTGCACGCATCTTTGAATTCCCCTTGGACGCTTGAACTCTGCTTCTTACTGTTCTCTCTGTTGGGTCTTAGTGCCTTTCTTTCACCTGCATGAAGCTCCCATTTCTAGGCCAGGTAGTTGGACATTAGGAAGAAGTATCAGCAATAAGTTCATAGGAAGACAGAAAAATAGTTCTCTCTTCCTCAAGTGTTTACATTTTCAAAGTGACAGCATGAACAGATTAATATCTAATACCAGCAGAATTTAGCACACCATGCCAAGGGAGGACAACATATCCCAGTAGGGCATAGATGGGGTTCATGATTACTAATATCTTCGAATTTCTCAAGGTGTATTCTGCATCATTTGGTTAAGGTTCAATCCTCAGGATAAAGTCTAGTCCACGCAAACTCTTCACAACCCTGTCAAGTTAGGTCCAGGAAGAAGTCATAGTGAGAACCAAGAGAAAATTGGCTCCTGTCCTAAAGAGCAAAGTGCTTTTTATCTTTTGGTTTCTTTGTATCATGTTCTTTGAATGGTTCCATACCAGTAAAGTTTCTGTACATCATCTGAGCTAGCAAGAGCTTCAAGTATTTTGTTCTTTTCTGCTTCAGAGCCCATGGAGGAATACATGTTTAAGAGGAATGACCAGCCTTTCTCTGTTCTTGCTCCAACTTTGAACACAGTGATCATGACATCAGTAGGCAGGCTACAAAAGAGATAGTAAACCATGAGAATAACAAGGAAAATTATCTGACAACAAAGGCAAGGAGTTGACTAATAGTATTTCCGGGTTCAGGTTAAATGATAATTGTAAATAGTCACAGAACTTTTAGAAATAATTAAAAAGTTAATTCAATGATCATTTTTCTACAGCGTAAGTTGAATTTAATAAAATATTAAAATATTATTTACTGAGAAGACACATGCCTGCATACTGGAGAGGGATAGAGGAAGGAATGAGACACACCCCTTTTTCTGTAGATCACGGACTATCCCAAACCATACATAATAAGTATATTACATTATAATATAGTGTGTTAAGTCTCATGATATAAACAGAGCAGTAAATATATTTTTGGGAGGCAGGAATGGGATGAAATATAACCAACTGCCTTTATTAAGATATCAGAGATAGGAAAGATTTCAGAACCTTATTCAACTTCCTCATCTCAACTTTTCAAATGATATTTTAATCACTGCTCCAATTTTTCAACAAGGAACCTAGAAAGAATTAATCACATTCCAAAGCCTTTCTTCTAACTGCTCACTCTACCAGTCATTCCACTTCTAAATTAAAGGAGACATCTATCATACTCTGAAAATATCTGTCATCAAAACCTCAGAAAATTGGGGTTGTGGATAACAAGTGTGAGGATCTGAGTTCAGTGACTAGCACCCAAGTATATAACAACAAAACTGGGTATGGGGCATGTACTTGTGATTCCAGTGCTTTGTGTGAGACCATGAGTTGGATCCTCAGCACCATAGCGGTGTGGGGGTGTGTGTGAATGTTTTAAATACAAACAAATGAAGCAGAAAACTAGGCCAAACATGGAAGTGTTTGTTTTAATATCAGCATTCAGGAGGCAAAAGTAAGCCAACCATGGTTTCACAGTGAGACTTGTCTCAAAACCAAACCCGATGGGAGATGTCTTTCTATATGCTGTGAATATGTTTCTCTTATTGGTTGATGAATAAAGCTGTTTCTGCCAATGGACAGGCAAGATTTAGTCAGGGGGAAATCCAAACAGGGATAGAGAAAGGTAGTAGGCAGAGTCAGGGAGATGCCATGTAGCTGCCGAGGAAGAAAGAGGCCTGGGCATCACAGGAAAGCCAAGACCACGAGGAGATATACAGATTAACAGGAATGTGTTAATAATTAAGAGAGGGCTAGCCAATTAGAAGCCTGATCCATCAGCCAAACAGTTTATGATTAATATAAACTTCTGTGTGTTTATTGGGACTAAAAGGCTGCAGGGCAGGCAAGACAGAAACTTCCATCCACACAAACCCAGAAAGCATGTTGCCAATGTTGTAAAAAAAAAAAACCTGGAATGTGCTGGGCGATGGTGGCACATACCTTTAATCCCAGTGCTTGGGAGTCAGAGGCAGACAGATCTCAGTGAGTTCGAGGCCAGCCTGATCTACAAAGTAATCTCCAGGCCAGCCAGGCCTATACAGAGAAGCCCTGTCTTGAAGAACAAAAACAAACAAACAAAAAAACAAAACTGGAAGGTTATACTCTGTTGGTGGAAACATAAAATGACATAATTACTATGGGAAATATGATATCATGAAAGTCCTTAAAAATTAAAGATGGAATGCTAGGGGAACTAGTTCAATCAGTACAGTGCTTGCTGAGCAAGCATGAGTCTGATCTCCAGAACCCACATAATATGGCCAATGAAGTGGCCACTTGAAATCCCAACATTCAGGAGACAGAAACAGGCACTTTCCAGGGCTCTCTGACCAGCCAATATAGACTATCCAGGGAAATCTGCTATCTCAAAAAAAACAAGTGTTTCTGAGGATTTAACAGTAAAGATTGTTTTCTGGCCTCCCTACACATGGGCTCTCTCTTTCTCTCTCTCTCTCTCTCTCTCTCTCTCTCTCTCTCTCTCACACACACACACACACACACACATACACACATACACACACACATACACGCATATGATAAAAAAGTAATCAATTCTCTACAGTCTAGCAATAGTACTTTTAGATATATACCTAAATAATTTTTCCCCTGACCCCCACATCCCATCCCCACCTCCACTCCACAGAGTGGGTGATTGATGCCTTCCAGCAGGGATCAACAAAATCTGTCAAGTCAAGTCAAGTCAAGTCATTTGGAGTAGGGACAAGGCCCTCCCTCATGTCTCTAGGTTAAGGGAATATCCCTCCATGGGTAATGTGCTCCCAAAGTCCTTTCCTGCACCAGAGATATATCCTGGTTCCATTGTGAGATGTCCCTTAGACTGCCCACACCTTCTAACTGAGACCCATGTTCAGGGAGTCTGATTAGGTCCAATGCTGGTTTCCCAGCTATTAATCTAGGGGTTCATTAGCTCCCCCTTGTTCAGGACAGCTGTCCCTGTGAGTTTCTATAGCCTGGTCTTGCTCCCATTTTCTTATCACTCCTCTCTCTCAGCAACTGGATTCTAGGAGTTAGGCTCAGTGTTTGGCTGTGGGTGTCTAAATCAGATTTGCAAAAGCTAATTATGTGCTCAAATACGGCAGTAGTATTTAAAATACCAAGAAGTAGAAGCAATTCAAATCTTATGGAAAAAATGTATTAAATATGGAATGTGCAATATAATGGAATATCACTCCTTCCTTCTTTAGGAAATAATGAATGGGAAGAACCATTCAAGTAGATGTGCACTTCACCTCAGAGTTCCATTTGATGACATCCAATTGTCAAACAGCATTGTGGCCACAGTGGTACAGTTCTCTAGGCTGTGGGCACAGGCAAATTCCAGCAAGGCTGACCGAAGCTCTCGCACAGATGGCATGCCCTCATCAGTCCAAGTCTGCTGCTGGATTTGGTTCTGGAGCAATTTATATACTCTGGTCTATAGAGATGAAATATGATTATAATGGTATTAATAATAATTTAATCAGGAAATCAGTATAATTACATATCTTTTCTCCAAGATTTACCCAATAAGAAACAATTACAGGATATTATTTATTAAATATTAACTGACACATAAAGCCCACATTTAGCTGGTATGGAACTATCCAATAACAAAGCTACTGACAAGTAGGACTTAGAATGATACAATTTAATTCAGGAAGAGTTGATGGTGTCTGAACTGCAGAGAACTTTTATTATGTGCACCCAGTTTCTAGTTCTTCATTTTTGTGAAGACAAAAAATATTTTTTTTAAGAACTAGAAACTGATATAGTTGAGTAACATTTGAATGTACACTAAACATCTATTTTTGCATTTTTCTGTAGCTTTGACATTTTTACATTAAAAATGGGGATGTAGACTATACTATTTTGTAGAGACCTGTGCACCCAGGAAATCCTAGAGGAGAAGAATCTCTGTTATAAAATGCTTAGGTTTTTTTTTTTTTTTTTCCTTTGTAAAGAATATCTTCAACCTATACATAAGGAGGAGCAAAGTAAAAAAAAAAAAAAAAAAAATGACAGATGTCCCATCTCCTCAGTATCTCAGCATCAGCGAGTTTCTCCTTACCAGTTATTTCTTTACTATCACCCACCACCTCCTACCTGTGCTGGCTACTTTTATGTCAACTTGACATAAGCTATAGTCATCTGAAAGGAGGGAACCTCAAATGAGAAACTGTCCCCATAAGATCTGATTGTAGGCAGGCATCTTCTTAATTAGTAATGAAGAAGGGCCCATCCCATTGTAGGTAGCTGATTGGTTCTGGGTGCTATAAGAAAACAGGTTTAACAAGCCATGAGAAGCAAGCCAGTAAGCAGCACTCCATGGCCTCTGCATTAGCTCCTGCCTCCAGGTTCCTGCACTATTTGAATTTCTGATTTCCCTTAATGATGGCCTATTATCTGGAAGTGTAAGCGAAAAATGCTTTTCTCCAAGTTGCTTTTGGTTGTTGTGTTTTATCACAGCAACAGAAACCCTAACTAACATACTACCTTATCCCAATAATAAAGTATCACAGATGAGTTATGAAAAACCCCCCAAATTCAGTTTAAGTTCTTTCAAAGTATTCTGCTCTTCTTGAAGATCACTGTCCATCCCTAAAGCCAAGAATTGGTATAAGAAGTTCTAAAAGCTTATGATAACACACCAACTTGCCTTTGTTTGTTTAAAGACAAGGAAATAGACACTAGATACATTGTGGAATGTTTGAGGTGGTAGAGCTTGAGAGTTACTAGGAGAACATGGAATCGGAAAATACTTGTCATGCTATAAGTCAATGCAGAACATTCCACTGGGCTCTTATTGGTACCTGCTATCTTCAATGACCCACTCAAAAGCATAAAGAGCACTATACCCCTCATTCAACTTGCCATTTTTGTTCCAAATGGATGGAGAATCAAAGAAAAACTTAAAAGGTATTTATAATCAGAAACAAAGAAACACTGTGTGGGAAAAGTATAGCTTAGAATCCTATCTTAAATACCTCAGTGGAGAGACACAGCAACACCTATGGGAATGGCACTTTGAAGCCCGACACTTGAAGATGCTTAGAATAAGTCCTAAGCACTCACACCCAACTATCAGAGGGCTTGACTTTGCTGGTCTCCTTATACCAAATGATTAAGAGAGACTCTCAAATATTTTAAGTATATTTAAAAATATGATAAACATTTCACTAACACAATTCTACTTTAATAAAAAGCCTCCTGTTACAACACTGTATATGCAATAAAATATAGCAACAATAACAAAATTATCTTTAAAACAGGAAAAGATGCTGATACTTGCAATATATTACATTTTGATTTACTGCTTGAATTTCACATCAATACACTCAGGGAGGTTCTTTCCTAACTTAACAAAGTTTCTTAAAAGTGAACTGCCAGTTTTATTGCTAAAGTTTATCCCACCAATGCTTCATATGTAAGAGAATGACAGATTTTAAGTTGTAAAAGAGGAATACGGCTAAAACCAGGCACTAACTTCAGATGTTAACAATTTAACACAATGCTTATGCACCTACAGACCCTACCCAGTGCACCACAGCATATTCCACAGAATGCTGCACAAATTAATATGTATAGTGTTCTGGTTATAATGACATAAATATTAATCAGACACTAATATTAAATACCGATATGCTTGAATATTGGACTCAAAGGCTTGGAAATACTTGCTATGCCACTTCCTACCTACAAAGTGGTTCTACAGTTTGACAGTTTGATGCTATCAAAATCCCCTAAGAATAATAAAGAATTTTATTGTTTCCCCTCTATTATGATCTAAAGCCAACTTGGTATTTAACTACATATTTAGGGTGCTGTAGTACTAAAAATGCCCAAGTCTTAGAAACAGACATCACCCTGTACTCATCGGCCCCCTGGATCCTACACTTATAGTATGTTCCAAACAAACACCTGAAACCATAGAGGATGAAGATCCAACAGGAGACAGGTTACTTGAACACCAACAGGAAAATATTCTGAAGGCCCAATTTGCAATTTCAACAAAGAGACAGCTTGGGATAATTATCAAGTGCTTCATAAGACTAATTTTAAATAGAAAAGCACATGAAGAAGGACTTTTGCTATTGTGAAACTAACTAGCTAGGTAGCTTTAGAACAGGCAGACATTCTGCCTCCCTTTATGGTAATTAGCTCATTCTTCACAAGATATTCTACCCTGCTAACACCTTGATTTCTAGACTCCAGAGGCATAAAAAATAAATTCTTGCTTTTTCTGTACATCAAATTTGTAGTAATACATTAAGACACTCCTAGAGAACTAATATATTACCTTAATTATTGTTGAAAATTAGGTGACTGGTTTTGAGGTGAAGTCTAATACTTCTCCTTTAGAGCTTGCATAGTCACTGCTACACCTACCAGCAACATTACTCATGGGAAAGTAGTGAGTAACAACTCCTAAGCAGGTTATTTTCAGAACAAATGTACTGCATTTTATAAAGACCGCTGGACCATTACCAGGATATCTATTTTCTAAAAGACCTTATTTTAATGTTGTATAAAAACAAGAGGATTCCCAGGGACATTTTCCTTATAGATGGCTCCATTTGATAGCAGCCAAATATCTGCATTTTTATATTCAAACAGTACTACTTCATATAAAAGCTTCACCAACTTCTTCATGGTAAGCACTGACATTTTTGATCCATAGTGGTTTTTAAAACCAGAAGAATTAAAAAAAAAAAAATTGAAATTTTACTGTTTGATTTTTTTCAGTCATGTTAAGAGCTGAATAGAATTGCAAAAAAATAGTATTAAAGGTAGGACACAAGAGAAACTGAAAAAAGGAACACTTACTACCAATCTTGAGGCCAGGTCCATGTGTCCCAGTTTTTCCAGGAGGTTATAGATGAGGCCCGTCTGGAACAGAGCTTCAGTGATGGGTGCAGTGTGTGTCTCATTTCTAAGATAGTCAATCAAATCAAATGCCAGCCGAAGAGGCACTTTGCCAAGGCTAAAGAATAAATGAATAGGAAGTGTAAATTTGCTGAGACACATACAACTTTATGATGAGCCAGTGAGTTCTGCAGACAAGAAACTTAAGTTTACAGTAACATTAGGCAAAGTTAGATTCATGTAATTATATTTAAGTGGCTCACAGCTAAAAATGCATTTTAATAGAAAGATACACAACAGGTCATTTTTGGAGTCAGAAGCCATCTATTATTCTGACTCAGTAAAAGCATCACGCTGCATTAGAAAAGATGACTACTATGATATTATTTACTAATTACTCCTATTTATCACATGATTTGGTGGCATACTCCCTATATGAATCAGTATCTGATTCAGAGTATCTGAATCAGAAAACAGACAAATTTTATTTCTTTCTGTAATCAGTCTGCCGTGTTTGTTGAGACAAGATCCATTGTGAGTATATAGTGAGTACCTTCTAAAAACTAATCAGTTAGGCTGGATGGGGTGTTGTACTCCTTTGAACCTAACACTCAAGAGAAAGAGAAAAGTCAATCTCTGTGTACACCAACCTGATCTACATAGCTAGTTCCAGGGCAGCCAAGGCTACCCTTGTCTCAAACAAACAAGCGAATACAACAGGCAGTTTGTAGAAGTTATAACAGTAATGGTTTAAAGGACATACATAACAAGGTTACTTCATATTTAAAACACAAGCCAAAAATGGAAAGTAATAATGACAAGTATTCTTTGTGTGTCTAGGCCTATAATCAATCTAAATTTGTAAACTATTTAGAAGATACCTTTACAAAACACCACTGCCATTCTTGTCTTTGGGCTTCTATAATGTACATGGTAGTTGGGGAGTCAAGCCACAACATATGAGGATAATCCAATTAATAGAAATGCTATTCAATCAATAGGTTAGCACTAAGCTTTAGACAGAAGCCAACTATTTCCTGCAAATAATTCTCTCATGAGATAATGTGAAGCTTGAATTCCCACAATATTTTTACTGAACAAAATATGTACCCTGTTTGTTGGTATCTATTCTTGAACTAGTAGTTGATTCTGTTTTATGCTTTCTACCTATTCAATCTGTTTATAGCTGATGTTTCTAATACATATAAAATCTCTGAAAGCAATGAACATGCCTTACATTTTCCAAATCTTCTAAAACTATATCTAACAGTCAATTTGAACTTAATTCAAAATGCTTTCTGAATTGTTCTTTACTGCAATAACATCTTTAAAAATGACAATAATAATGTAAATCAAGCATACTCTACCCTGCAAGTTCAAAGATGTTATTGACGAGGTTGGCTCGGTCTTTGTCACTCAGAACATAAGGATTTCTTTTTAACTGATTGATTAGAGCTGCCCAGTCATCATCAGCATAGTGAACAATGTAATAGCCAGTCATGTTTGTATTGACTTTGACCCACTGCACTTGTTCTGTAAGATTGATGATATCTAAAAAGAGAGGAAGAATAAAAACAAGAGAGAAGACAAGAGGGGCTTTCATTTTTTGTTTTCTCAATATTAAGGCATGTTTTCATATCCGTAATTCTTTTAAGAAACTACATGCTGGCTGAATGGTGGTGGCTCACACCTTTAATCCTAGCACTAGGGAGGCAGAAGCAAGCTGTTCTCTGTGAGTTCTAGGCCAGCCTGTTCAACAGAGTGAGTTCCAGGACAGGTTCCAAAAATACAGAGAAATCCTGTCTCAAAGAAAAAAACAAAAAAACCAATGGTATCAATGTGAAGCATGGAGTATATTTATTGTCATGTTTTCCCTATAATTGTTTTAATTAATGTAGTATTTCCTTCAGTTGTCCTATATGTACTGATGTTCATCCTGCATTTTTACCTTTAAGACTTCTCTCCAACCCTTCACTTCCATTGCCTCCATATGCAATGTTCTAATATCCAACTTTCCATTTCAGGAAATACTTGTATAGTGAATTATTTTTATACAAAGTGCTTTATAGACACATTCTAAAATGAAAAATACATTAATATTTGAAGTTTTACTTATAGTTTGTCAAGTTCAAAAGCATGAATTACTAAGATGTAGCTGATTCATTTTATTACTCTAATTTTGTTGATGTTTTGGACATTATGAAGATGGAATAATTATGTATTAATAGAGCTATCAATCTGTTTCATTAAAAGATTGAATGTTAGTTTCTGTTTTATTCTTGACATAATAACAGATGGGAAAGATCAGTTGGGAGAAATTCTTTTCTTTTTCCAGAGCAGAATGGAGCTCTGAGGAGGATTTGTGATGGAAAAAGTCATGGTTCCAGGTTAGGGAAATTGTAACCAGGCTTATAATTGATGAGAATAATTGTATAATCAGCTAATCCAAAAAGTACCAATATTTTCCATTTGGGATTTGCAAGCACACTCTTCTATGGAGCTTTTAAAGACAAACTCTATGAAAGAAGGGTTATATAGCCCTATCGCCACTGACTTAAGAAGAATGGTAAACATGGCAACTGTTTCATTGGATAGCTTCAGGAAATGGTGAAATAATAACTATTTTCACTGATGAGCGCATGCTATGCTACAAACATGGCCAACTCCAGATGGTAGAGAAGGAATGCAGCTGGGAGTATATTTCAAATGATTTCTGTCATCAAGTTGCCAGAAGATAAGCAACAAAGCCAACAGCAGGAGAGAGGAGACTTATTTAAAGATTAGCATAGGAGTACCTTTATTGTTTTCTGAATAAACTAGGATACAGGATCTCAAAGCCATAGGTATCAAAAATAATTGTTTTATACATAAGGGACCTACCTGGTTGCCAGCTCAAATGTAGATGAGACTACTGTCATATGCTTTTAATTTATTATAACCATTAACAGATTAGCAGTTCAGTTTCCACAGTCTATTGTATAATAGTGAGCAATTTAATTTTAAATGACAAAACACAAATTAATCTAATTGTGATTTTAAAAATATTTGTCAATAAGGTATGACAATCAACTACTGTTTTATAAAGAAATATCGAAGTCCTCAGACAAAAAATACATTTTTACTATAAAATTAGAAAATATGACATCAAGTCTGTTCCAGGGGGTACCGCAGTTCACTGCATCCATGCAAAAAACCCTCTCTTATTAAGTAGATAACAGCACATGAAGGTATGTTAGTAAATCACCTCCTCTTCTTTTTCTAATTGCTTTTCTTTCCAATGATACATCCTTTAGTTTCATAGCAATATTTCAGGTATGGCAATATACTTTCTCAGAAAAAAACATTTCCAGTTAAAATTAAGTTTGGAAAAAAAGATAGATAACAGAAAGACAGGAAGGACAAGGTAGAAAATTTTAGTGTACACGAAAAATGATCTCCTTTACCCTGTTATTTATGCACACCAATTATTAAAAGAAGGGAAAGAGGGGAAAATTGAATATAACTACTTCACACGGTCAAACCAGCAAGCTAAGGTCAGAGCCCCACTATAAATCTAAGCAACCAAAGAGGATCCTATAGTGCAGCAATGTATGAAAATAAAATAAGCCTAAAGTCCTTTTCTCTGCTACATTTTGAGAATTGAAAAAAATCAAAATGCAACTAAGTTGAGAGTAATTACTATTGAGGTATCAGGAGCCAAGAAGATTCAACTCTCCTTAGGGTCACACATTTTCTTATAAAAGCAGAGTGTTTTCAATGTGTACTCTTAAATCTTAACTGTAAGAAATTAAAGCAGCCAGAGAACTACACATTTACTAACAGGAAGCACATGCTGCTTACATAAAACTGGGCCAATTCCAGCCTCAGATTCAACAATTATATTCCTTTTAACTGTGAGTCTTTTCAATGAAGGGAAACAAGGCATTTCTTTTAGCTTTAAATAGTCTTTCCTTACAAGTCTTCATAGTCAAAATTAAAATGCAGTGATTTCATTTATTCAGTAAGTTGTTTATGTAACTACTATATGCCAAGTTCATTAATGTAATTTATAAACTGCAATATTTACCCTCAATGGGAGATAAATATAATATGGAGAGACACAAGTGAATAGTACTTACAGAATTCTCTTGAGTAAAAAGTACAAAATGCTATTTGAAACTATAAACTGGAAATCTACTTTGTCTTGGCATGCAGAAGTCTCCCTGGAACAAGCCATGGCTTAGCTTAGGGCAGGGGAATGAATGGGAGGAAGTCAAGGGAGTGGGGAGTCAGGGTGTTCTCCAAGGAGAGACAGACAATAGCACCCAAAAGATAAACACAGTGTGGCCTGTTTAAGATGCTGGAAATTTTTCTATGCAGCAAAATGAGAGTAGAGCAGGTGAGGGAGACTGAGAGGGAGACAGAGGGAAAGGGAGAAAAGGGAGCCAAGGAGAATTAAATGGAGCAGAGGAGGAGGAAGAGGGAGTAGACACAGATGGAGGTGGAGGGCAAGGAGAGAGGGGGAGAGGGAGAGGAAAAGAGAAAGCACAGTAGGGAGAGAAAAGGAGGCAGGCTATGGTTCATGTATTTAATTTGTCCCTCCTATAATATTCATGTATTAAAGGCTTGGTTCTAAGCTAGAGGATCTATCATTAAGAAGTAACTAGTTAACTCACTGATAGATTGGTAGAGAATGGATACTTATGGGGTAGGGTCTGGAGAAGGAAGTAAGTTACTACTTTGTAATGTTTTCAAAAGATATAACTTGTCAGTGTTTTTCTTCTCCTCCCCATCTCCCAAGACAGAAACTAAACCCTGCAAAACTGTGAGCCCAAATAAATTTGTCCTCCCTTTAAATTATTTGTTACTCCAGCCATGCAGAGGTGGCGCACACCTTTAATCCCAGCACTAGGGAGGCAGAGGCAGGCAGATCTCTGTGAGGCCGAGCCTATCCTGGTCTACAGTGGGAGTTCCAGGGCAGGCTCCAAAGCTAGAGACATTCTGTCTCAAAAAAACCAAAAAGAAAAACAAACAAACAAAAACAAAGAAACAAAAAACTCTGTTACAGTAACAAAGAGTTGACTAGTATAAGGAATAAGTAGGGAATTTGGAGCTGTTTTATACACCACGATAGTTTATCACACTCACATATAAACAGCTTTTTAAAGGACAAAAGTAGATTTCTTATTGTCAATTTCTAATGCCAGCAAAAATTTAAATACTATTAGGAAGTCTGCAAATTTTCCTAATTGGCTCCTTCTAAATGCTCTGTTAAATGGACAGAGAGGAATCTCTTCCATGGTTTGGAGTACCCCTTTAGAAACTCTGATGTTTAGAGTTCTGTTTCACCAGGGAAGGCAGCACTTTTTTTACACATTAATCAAAGAGATGGTGGGATCACTTTCTGCTCTCAGGGCTTTAAATAGTGAGACTGTTGCATAGCTACTGCAACTCTTCATATACTGAAGCTGGCACTTTCCAGTATTATCATACAATACAGAAGAGTAACTTAGTTTTGAGTACCCAATCATAAAAGGTAATAGTCTTTAATTTTGAGAAGCTCTGATTAAAAAGAAAAAAAAAAAGACAAAATGGGAAAAAATATTAACATCTTATATTTTTATTAGGAAATGCTTTTAATAAAGATAATCGAGTAATCATAAAAAAATGAAAAGACTGTAAATTACCATATATATATGTGTGTGTGTATATATATACACATATGTTTTTAAAGGCAAGATATGGAAATCATATGTCCATAATGATTTCAAGCAAAAAAATTTTAAATGATAAATGATAAGCTCAAAAGAACTTATGACAGCATTAGAAAACTGTTTGCATAGATTATGTAATGTGGATACACTATGCTTAAAGATTCTTTAGTAAGGGCATTGGTAATGGTGTCTAAAATGGACGTAACACCTGCCAGACATGACTCTAGGTGCTCAATATAAATAAACTCTGAAAAAATCCTTATCACAACCCTATTTTAGAGTAGGCTCAGAGACAAATACCTTATCTAAAATCCATTTAAACTGGAATGGTGCGATCAAGGCAACTGGACTTTATTCACCAATCAAAAATGAAGATTAGAAAACAGATCCTAATCTAAGTAAGAACTGTGCCTTTTTCATAAATCTAAAGTATTCATGGCTGATTGTCACAGAACCCAAGAGCCTTATGTTCTTTTGGGATGTAAGTTAAAACAATATATGAGTAGGTATCACAGATGTATTTCACAAATGATTAGAAATTATACTTGTTTCTGCTAAGGCACCTCCCGACTGGTTTAATAAAAAGCTGAAGGGTCAATAGCTAGGCAGCAAAGGATAGGTGAGCATTTCAGGGAAAGAGAGGAACTTGGGAGAAGAATCTGAGAGAGGGGAAACTCGCCATGAGACACGGAGGGCCATGTGGCAGAGGATAGATTAATATAAATGGGTTAATTTAAACTTTAAGAGGTAATTGGGAAACAAGCCTAAGCTAAGGCCAAGCTTTCATAATTAATAAGAAGTTTCACTGTCATTATTTGGTGGTTCAAAGAAAGTCCACCTACATACATGACTACAGGATATGTTGTAATAAGCATTTACTGTAAATGTAGGTAATAAATTTACTTTTATTATGCATAAAGATAATTTATAAAATGCTTGTTAAAATGCACTGGCCCCAAGCTGGCCCTTGAAAGTAGATAATAACACTTTAAGCAAATGCTCTGGTTCTTTTACTTATTTTAAAACATAAAGTATTTATCCAGAACTTAAACATAAAACATTGCCAAGATATTCTTTGCAATTTCTTAACTTTATTTCTTACACCTGAAAGACAATTCTATACATATAAAGAGTCGGTCTTATTCTATTCAAATGTTGGATAATTACTTATGACACTAGATCAGAGAATGTACACACTGGGAAATACAATCTATTACCTATCCTATGGTCAAATTTTTAAAATTACATTATTGGTAATTTTTTATCAGAAAGGTATTAACTACTGTCACACCTGATTTCTTGTCCAGTAGCGAAACAGATCGATATTCTGAATAGTTTCTTCCATCAGTAACATAGGATATTGGAATATGCCACAGGTAGCTGCAGAAGTAAAACATTGGAGAGTTAGTTCTCTTCCTAATGTTTTAGTTAGTTATTCAAGAATTGGTAGTTTGGGACAGTAATGGAGAGTTTCCAAGCTCCTTCTAAAGAGGAAAGACCTCATCAGGTTTCACAAGAATGATGATTATAAAACATCTAAAATCCTTATATCTGAAGGTAGAATCAAGATAAGCTGGGAAGAAAAAAGAACAATACCTGGTATCTGAAGCCTGAATTTCTGGTTGCATGCTTAGAAAATATCTTTCTTGTTGTAGAAGGAGCTCCGTCCCCTTCCTCTGGACCGTCACTAATGGGAATCCTTTCTGTAGGGTCCAGGTTTTCATCATTTTCTTTACATCTAGTGTTTTGTTTGTGACCTATTCAATTAAGGAGAATTAATTGTGCTTAATAATAAAATCTGTCTAAAATTATAGTTCACTTTGACTGCCTTTTCATCTTTTCCTAGTGTACTCCATGAAGACCACATAGAATTGATGCTGAGTTGAGTTTACATTTTTTTTATCAAGCTAAGTAAAACAAACTAGCTTGTAATGTGAGTGTTTTCTAAGACACGAGTAGTACCATGCTGAAAAGCAGCAAGTGTGCTACCAACCTGCAGAGTTCCACATTAGAATCCATCAGAAGATGTAAGTGCACTTTCAATCCTAAGCACTAGGACTTCAAAGATTATGACTAGTGAGAAGTATTATAGGATGGAAGCATTGCAACTCAGTCCTGAGAGGCAGCAAGTCCAGACCCCTCTTCATTCACCTACTCTGCTTCTTCAGTGTCTGTTTCAAAGATCCAGTCTTGGGGAGAGCTACAAGGTGATGTCAGCATCAGAAAACTCTGTCTCTTAACTGCATCTCTTAGAGAATGACCATAAACTCTTTTTGATGATTTTATTTCCCCAAAATACATTAACTTTTCTGCAAAATCTAAAACCTGATGTCTCAGGTTCTTAGACCCTGTAAAGCTCACTATACCAAGATATCTGGTATCAATGATCAAGAAGTGCTTTACAAGTGGGACGGTGGTGGTACACACCTTTAATCCCAGCACTTAGGAGGCAATGACAGTGGATCTCCATGAGTTTGAGGACAGTTTGGTCTACAGAGCTAGTGCCAGGAGAGGCTCCAAAGCTACACAGAGAAACCCTGTCTTGCAAAACAAAAAGTAGTTTATAAAAAAAAAAAAAAAAAAAAAAAAAGTCTCTTTAAAGCAAGAAGGATAATGATTTAGCATCTTTTCTAGATTACATTTGGAACAATGTTTTCCAATTTCATTAAGGTAATAATCTTATCTTTCTCATGGTTTTGATCTATTTATTTCAAGACCAGAGGCTGGGAAGAAAAGCAGGTACTTGGAGAACTTAATAAGAGAGTACTGTAAAGGATGCTTTATAAAATGAGAATATTGTTAGGAACGAGGTTGGGATGGGGCAACACCATTATTTGCAGTAACTGATAAAGGCTGGCATATGTTCTATATGTCAAAAATATGTATGAATGGGAACCAAGTAAGTGATTGTTCTCCACTGAAATGCCAAAATATGATTGAACAAAAAAAAAAAGTAATACAGAAGAAAGTGTTAAGTAGTAAAAATTCCTTCTCTCAAAAAGAACTCAGTAGGGAAGTCCTGTCTTCTGAGCAAACAGTTAATACTAGAAAATACTATCATTCATAGTGGAAAAGCAATAGTAAATGAGACACACCCAAAGCAAGGGTTCTTGACTCAGCATCCATAAGACTCTGAAACTGTAGTGATGACTTGCACGTGTGTGGTTTTTCTTTTTTCAGATTCTCAGATACATCTGTGATCTTCAAGAGCATTAAGAACCACCAATTTAGATCAGGATAACAAACTCAGAAGCACATGATGATTGTGCAGCCAACATATGTGCACAGGTAAGCTGGGTTTACACACTGCTCTCAAGAATAGCTTCTATCCAATTACATTGCTTGTTAGAAAATGGAAGTGTAATAAAATCCAGAGACAAACAACTCAAGGGCAGTATTATCTCATGGTAGTTAACTTGTGATATATCATCTACTGGGAGGGATCTGGGTCTCCAAATAAAGAGATTCATAAAGCTTCATATAGTATCATTAACTGAAGGTAGAAAAACTAGAAAAGATATAGGAAAATAAGTTTTTGAAAACAAATCAAGTATCAAAAATATGTAATAATCATTAATATTCAGAAGAAAATTTTTCCTTACCCAACAAAAGGAATAGAGATTAAGGTACAAAATAATTATGGCTGCCCATGGCCAGATTCCCCCCTTTTTTTGTAACAATATACAGTATTTCCATTTCTTGATCTTAATAACAAATATTTATATGTTAAGCTCTATTTACTCTCTCTTAAATAACTAATCATTGGTACTATCTATATGTATGACAGAAATATAAACAAAGGTTCTCTTATAGTTCATAGACAGGACTGAATTATCCAGGCTACTTACCTCATTAAAGCTGTCCCAGAGATCATCGCTTTGAATGGATGCATAACTGTGATTGTGCAGGTAAAGAATGATAGCATGTTGAAACACATCTTCACTAAGGTAAGTCTTAAGCATCAACAAGAGAGATGCTCCCTGTCCAAAAATTAAGAAAAAGAGGAAAAAAACAATAACTATTGCAAGCCATAGAATCAAGACTCTTAAGGCTGAAAATATATTATTTCTAAAACACATAATTTCATATATACAACATAGCTACAGTACATTATTATTCTTATATATATAGATGTAGACCATTTAGAAATATAAATATTAACAAAGAGAGTTAGATTCTTATATACACTAAATCTCCATGAGTTATTTTTTGTGACCTATCAATGCACTTTGCTGTTTTTATAGCAGTGTTAAAATGATCAACATTTGTGTACTTTTAATAGAAACACAATGCAAATTTTCTATGACATCTCTTCTCCCACCTCCAATGCTTAAAGTGCTGGCTGCGTCCATGTACATACACCAAGGAAGACACAGTCAGTTAACAAAATCTCTCTACTGGTAGTAATTACATTCTAATTTTAGTCTCTCATGTTGCAGAAATATTCAGGATCTTTCTTCTGAAGAATGACTATACTAATGAATATTCAGAGGAACAAGAAAACACTAAGCTTCCATAACCAGGCTTGTAAGAATTCAGGTAATACTATACCCTCTCACACATGTTACCTTTCCAACCATGAAGCAACTACCGTTTAGTGTTGAGAGAGAAGTCACATTGCCTTATTTCCAATTGATATTTTCTATACCTGGTATATGTTCATTTCTTCTTCTATACTGAAGGCTACTTGAGTGAACAATTCAAAGATGCAACTACAGAATTACAGTGTTCAAATAAATTTGTGATAAAAAAAAAAAGTAGCACTATCAAGTCATCAAGATTCCAAGTACTCAGTTTTCACTCTATAGCTATACTTATTCTATAAATTTAAGCATTTTTATTCTCAATAGTCCCTTCTTTTTTCTACATAAACTTTCTCCTCTATATTATAATATTCCCATTAATAAAATACACATGGTTAAACATTGACTCTCTACCTTTCCTTAACTTCAAGCCTCCTCTAGTTATCACACAAGTTCTTGCTTCTCAATTGTAGGAAAACTCTATAGTCATCTACATTTGTTCTCTTTCTATGTTCTTTCATACCACAGACTAACCATTATTCTACTAGCAATATTATAACCATGGTCACTGGTGAATTTTCTGGTGCCAGATCAATCTCACTTCTCTTACCTTATCAATAATGTACCAATAGCACTTCATAGGATTGATTTACCACTTCTGCTTGAAAGTCTGTATGCATCCAACCTTGGTATAGTGTTTCTAATTTTACCTCTAAGTCAAGTCAATGCGCTACCAATGGTCTTTTTTTTACTGAATCTTATATTCCCAATGGCTGAGCTTGGTGTGTCCTGCCATTTGCTCTTTAGAACCTTGGGTGTCTCATTTTCACCACCTAAATTTGCTTTATAGTTGCTCTCAACTCTAGGGGCTTTAGCCCCCTGATTTATATATCTAATTAGGTTTTAATTCTGAATTCCAGACTCATATTCAACTGTCTACTTGGCATCTCCGCTTGTATATCTAATAATATATCTCACACTTAAAAATTCAGTTTTTTATTTGCCCCAGTTCTACGTATCCATCCTTCTTCTCCATTTCAGTAAATGAGAATATTAATTTCCAGTTGGTGAGAGAAAACTTTATTGTGGTGTGTGTGTGCAAATGTGAAAGACAGAGGATAGCTTTCAGGAGTTGATTTGCTCCTTCCTCCATGTGGATCCCAGGACAAACAAAAAAACCTAAGAAAAACTCTTAATGTGATGTTTGACTCCACTCATACATTTTAAAAATAATCTTTCAGCAAATGTACTTATGCTAAATGTCTTCTATTCTTTGAGAGCTCCGGAATTTGGGTATATGCAAATAAGCAGGTATAGCTTAGGAGGGTAAATCATTTTCGTCATGAACTGTATAAACTGGTCCCAAATCTAGACTGCCAAATGCCAGCTAAAGAACAGCCTTGTAGGTAGGCTACCAAAGGCCAGTTGTTCTAACACTGTGACATTATCTCTTTTCTGCATACAAAAATCTATACTTTAATTAGTTCTCCCTAAAATATTTGTCCCCAGGAGCCTATAGGCTTCATTCTCAAATGGGTTACAAATATTGCCTGCCTACAAGTGGCCTTCTCCAACTATGCTATGTCAAATGGCATTTTGTTATTCTCATTTCTCTTCTCTCTTTCATCTAATATAGCACACATTAATTCTTCTATCTATCTAATATCTGCCTCTACATTAGAACCATGAAATGGATACTCCAAAGAAACATTCAGTTTGTCTCTTGAAGAATCCTGAGTCTAGAACAGTGATTGGCTCATGGTAATTTCAAAACAGGCTAATGAATGAACCCCCACAAGGCAACCTGCATCAGTGGCTTGGTGACTATGAAGAAGAAAGTTATAAAGAACTTTGACTTAGTCACTTAAAGTAACCACTTCACGTCTTTGCTTTGGTAAAAAGACAATTCTTGTATATTAGAGATCACTAATAAATAAAATAAGAGATTCTTGACCATAAACCCTAATTAAGTCAATTAATCCGATAATTGAGATGGTACTTAGTGATGAACAGTTGGTGGCATACATTGGGGAAATGGTTTATTCATAACAAGACAGGGCAGCATGAGCTTTTCCCATAACACAGAAGGGCATGCACTTTAAAATTTATGAATCGCTTATTACTGGACTTTTCCTTTTAATATTTTTCATAAGATGATTACTAATTGGCGACTGAAGCTATGGAAAGTGAAACTGCAGATAAAGGGAAATTAGTGTATGTATTTTTAGATCAAATTAAACTCATTTCTTATTAAAAGTACTATAAATTCCTTCCTTTCTGAAGAAGGCTTGAATCTGGAAAACATTTCTGCCTTTATCTGTCTTACCCTGTCACCCACCAAGTCCTTCAAGTTAAAAACCTCACCAATATTTTTAGATCTATTTTCTTCCCATTGTTATGACTGCTCATTTCAAACGTTCACCACTGCGTGTCTGATGTTCAGTACCTTGTTCCATTTTTGTTCTCTCCCTACTATTATAATCCACTTTATATACTGAATCCAACTTAAGTTTTCTAAATATCAAGTTTAATGAAATCATCTTTATATTAAAAATGCCTAGATTTCTTATGGCATTCAGGAACTGAGGCTCATGTTTCCTTTCTTCCCAACTCACCCTGGCCCTATCTCTACGTAAATGTCCCAGCCCCAACCTCCAGCACTCCTGCTTTTCTGTGCAGAGCACACTATTCCAGTTATCTGTGCTCTTAGAGGTATTTCAAACCTTATTTTTCTTCAGAGTATCTCTTCAAAATGCACAACTTCTCTGTACTATTTCAGCACATACAATTCTCTTACTATTCCACATGTATTTACCACCCAATTTTGAGCTTTTTGATAATATAGGTTCTATTCTCTTGTGTTCAATGTGTTCTCTTCTCTATCTATCAAAAGGATTTACTAGCCAAGTAATCTGACAACCAAACATGATGGACAAACAAACAAAACAAAAGGTTAACTGGTTTTTAACATCACCCTCTGACATTATACATTCAAATAACACTGGTACCACACTTTCTCTGCTCTCCAAACTGCTCAGATCCCAACAAAGCTTCTACTTTCCATCCACAAACATGGTATTTATGCTTCACATCCTGAAGGGTAATCATAATCATCAATTATTAAAATAACTTTTTTGCTTAATTATTTTGATGATCTTGATTCTGGAAAATACCTCAATTCTGAGTAACACAATAAAAGGCTTTGCTCAGGACCCTCTCTTTTTAGAACACATTCTACTTATAGATCAATAGAGAAAACTAACTCTGAGAGATGAATTCTTACAGGATCTGCTTTACTGCCTGAATACTAGTCACAGCAAATAAGAGGGAGACAAAGAAAGAAGCACTCACAAAAGTTAAAATAGATTTACATATTTAAAATTTAAAGTTTACCCAAAAGCAATGTTTATTCAATCTTTAATATGAATTAGGCTGTTTGCTGACTTACAAATGACTTTGAAGTCCATTAAATGTATATTTCTTAGCTAGGTGATAACACCTTATGCCTTTAATCCCAGCACTTGGGAGGCAGAGGCAGGAGGATCACTGAGATGACGGCCAACCTGGTCTATAGAGTGAGATCCATGACAATTAGGGATGCACAGAACCCTGTCTCAAAAAAGAAAGTACATTTCTTTGTGCAAAGTAATACCTTAAAATAGGAAAGAGAATCAAACATCTCTTCTATTTGTTCTGAAGACTGAACAGATGATGATATTGGATGGGATGAATTCAAGGAATCTTTCCTCATAGTTTTAAATCGAGCATCTAGGAAGTCTTCATACTAGTAAAAAAGAAAATAAAATGATAGGAAGTCATGACCACTATAAAGGCAATTGTAGTATTTATACAAATTATGCAAATTGCTACAGGATGAAAAAACCTGGGTTCATTAAATTTTAGCAAATAAACTACTAAAAATACAGTGTATGAATATTCCTTAAATTTAAAACTGCACACAGAATTGAGGAGTATAATAATTAGCTTTTCCAAAAAAAGAGCATAACTGTAAACTTAAGATTCTACAACTAATGAAAGCAAATTTGCAAATCTGAATATCCAAGATAAATATTCAACAAAGGTTAAAGTATATTTTTAAAATGAAAATCGAAACTTAGGACAGACACTTGCTCCTTACCTTGAGTTTCTATTAAAATATACAATTCTTAGTTAATGTTATTTTAAATAAAATACAACTCAGTCTGAAAGCATAGAGAAAGAGCTCAGCCAGGAGTCCCTAAAATGCATATTAAAATTTTAAGCATTATGGGCACCCTCTAGTGGTGAAACTGTGTATTTCATTGCTTAATTAAGTTGCATACATGACTTAAAACTACCTCCTAGTATTCCAACTGAAAATTAGTTGTAGTTTTAATCAAGCCCAATATAAAGAAATGCCAAACTAGAACTTTGGGATTCAAAACATTTCTATGTGTGAGGTTTTCCTGTAGTTTAAGTAGACCATGTTTCGTGCTGTCCAGTAACGCTTGATTTGTTTCAGCAATATCTATCAAATTATGGCCTATTAAGTCTGAACATCTGTGAGTACAGGAAATATGTCCAAACTCTAATGACACAACTTAGGTCTTTGAAACTGGATGATATGTGGTTTGTATAAAGCAAGGACACATTTATTGTATTTATTTTAGCAACGTATATGTTGTTTAAGAACTGTTGAAAGAATGCATTCAGTGACAATATAAAAAGCAATCCAGAAGTCAGTCTTCATCTCTCTTTATACATAGTTTTTAATTTTTTTTTAACAAAACAAATTTTCCAACTTTATCTAAATTCCTTCAAACAGAAAAACCATATAAAAAATAAAATGTAGTATTTAAAATATTCATCCGATGTAAAAAAAAGTAAGGCCATACACAACTATTTCAATGTTCAATGAATTACATCAATAAGCAAGAGTGTAATTTTAATTATAAAGTCTCCAGAATTATAGATTTTGCTATAGATTTCTAAAAAATTTTCATTACCTCAAATGCATAGAAAACACATGGTAAATAACTCATAACTTCACTATTTCCTCCTCATAGGATAAAGAAACACAGTACTTACACTGTAGAACTCTTTGAATATTTTTTCCACAGAGAAATACTCCATGAAAGTCGCAAAGCCTTCGTTTAGCCACAGGTCATTCCACCATTGCATTGTAACCAGATTACCAAACCACTATAGAAAAGACAATATGACATGTATATTCCCAGGAATTTCTTAATCAAATTAACTGTCAGGCTAATTAAAATCTTAAAAGAAATTATATCCAGAGTAATTAAAGACTTATCAACGTTGTATAAATTGTACCAAAAAATAAAGGATTTTAAAAGTTATATGAACTTATTTTAGAAGTAAAATAAAAACTTAAACATTTTACCTTAGCTAAATTTGAAAAGAAGCAGGAAAGACTGTGAGTATATTTATTTACTAAAATGTATATGAATTTTTAACATACAGTATATATCAGACTATGTAGATAATGACAATTTTAAGCTGTTTCACTTAAGAGAGACTTCTTAAATAATTAAATTATCTAATCTAAGTTAGTAGGATTATTTTCCATTATATACAATCTTCTATGACAAGTAAAGGTTGTCCTATTGTCAAAGAGTCTGGATTTCACGCTTCTCTTCCATTACCCGAGTTCAAGACATGATTCACACAAGATTTGAGTAACATTCCTATAGAAAGTTGTCATTCATGCACACACACAGGAAATCTGAGAAATTTTTAAATGCTTTTTTATATAAGTTAGTAAAATGAAGGAAAAAGTTTAGAGACCTTCCTACGTCTCCTTTGGGTATGGAGAGAGAGTTCAGCAGTTAGCACTTGACCTGTAATCCTGAGGACCTGAGTTTGGATCACAGCAACTTTGCAACAAACTACCATGTAATTTTTCACAAAAATCTGCAATCCTAGCTCTAGGAAGTTACAAACAGGCAAATCACTGGAGTTTGTGGGCTCCCAACCTCATTAAATGTGAGAAAAAAGACCCTGCCTCCAGACAGGTAGAGAGTAGTGGAAGAAGACAGCTGGTGTCCTCTTCTGTTCTCCACACAAATGCAGGTGCATGCACACACACACACACAACCAAACTTCTTATTAAAATACTTGTAAAAAAAAAAAAAGTGGTCATAGGGTATTCAAATTTGTCAATGTGGTCTGGGGTTTATTTCATATCACTAGCTAAAAATAAGGCTATTACTACAACAAAACAAAATTACTTTTGAGAGTTCAATCATTAATTTTTCCAAGATACTATATTAAAAAAATTATGTTTAACAGGAAGATGTGTTATAAGTCCTAAACAAAAGAAAAATATGAGAAATATTCTAAGTGGTAATGAGTGGTTCCAGAAATAACAGGATTAGGAAAAAAAATGTATCATTTATCAGCTTGCCAGCAAGTTTTTACAAGGGTCACAGAGTCATCTACAGATGATGTCTGAGACAGAGTTAACTGGCCACACCATACACTGAAAAGCATCTCATATCTGTGGCACAACAGAGATTGTATTTTGGGAATGGGGATGCACATGAACAAGTCTTTTCTTTTATTAATCGTAACAAATAATTTCTTCACTCTATACTGGGGGGAGCTCCTTCTCCCACATTAATAGAGAACCCAGTTCTAGCAGGAAACAGAAAAAGAAATTTTGTTCTGATAATTGCAATTCAATAATTGTTAGTAGGAAGCTGGGTATGAGAGCCCACATTTATGATCTGGTATTCAAGAGGTGAAGCAGGAGAAATATGAGCTACGTAACTAAGGGAAAAAGTTCTATCCTACAAGGTTACACTGAGCAGCTGGTAGTTGCTACATGTGATGCAGATATGTATTATTAAGGGAAAAAAATGACATTCCAGGGTTAGGGAATTTAGCTCAGTGGTAAAGTACTGTCTAACACAAAGTTGGTTGTGTTGGTCCCAGCACTGGGGTAATAAAAAAGATAATTTGAAGATACAGTTATTCTTCAAGGCCCAATGCTACCATTTAATACCTGTGTGAGTTTAAACAAACCATTTCTTAGAGCTGTCTCAGTTTCTATATGTATAAAGGGGATTGCCACTCACTTTAGGACACTGTGAAATAAGATAATGGATGTGAAAAATGACTTATATATTAAGTTCTAACAGATTTTGTTTAAAAAGCATCATTTTTAATATAATAGCAACACTAAAAATCACAGAATAGTAATATACTTAATAATATGCAGGCGTTGACTAAAACTCTGGGGCTTTAGATGTAATGGCAGTGGTTGGTAATACCTGATGTGCTAGCTCATGAGCAATGATTTTAGTAACCAGTTTTCTATCTGCTACTGAAGAACTGTCATTGTCATACAGAAGAGTCTCTTCTCGGAATGTAAGCAGGCCCCAATTTTCCATTGCTCCTGCTTCAAAGTCAGGAATGGCCACCAAATCTGGGCATAACAAGAAAGAGGAGATCAACTTCTTATGTAAAAGTCAAGAACCTCTACCCAGTAAAGACTGACAGAATCTTCCTTTTCCTAGATCTACATGCTCTGCCCCATGCTGTCGGCTGAGGAACACCTGAACAAACCATTTTATGATCAACAATTCCACTGTCCCCTAACAAAGAAAACAACAGCCCATTTCTCTCACAATGAATCAGACCGGAGTAAGCAAGCCAAAGTCCAAGTCGCATCCCATTAAGTTCTTCAGAACCAGCATCACACTGAATATAACTTCAGTGTTCTTGCATTCATGGGTTCCCAGAATGTACTTTCTATTACTTGAATCAGAAACTTCTTGGAAGTTAGTAAACTCCACATGAAGCCCTATGCAAATTCATATAATCCCATAAACTTAAAAGTTATATAAGTAATTTAAAGTTCAGGTTCAGGAAACTTATAGATTGTAAATAAACTTAACAAGTACAATTTTGACAACATTAACACTGTTTCTTAGTTTTTTTTTTTTTTAAACTTTGGCAAAAGCTTTTTCTAAAATATCATTTGTGAAACAAATCTTTATTATAAGTTGTACTAAAAATCAAGGCATTATTAAATTCTTACCCAATTTCTTAAGTGGATATTGAATTTCAAAGTAATTTTGATAAAATTCAAGGAGTTTTACAGTTGTGTCCAAGGCATGGTGAACTTGACCAATCTTTTCTGGTACAGCATATATAGAAACCTAAAGGAAAACATAATTCATTATATAAAAGACAGATAAAATTAAAATGCCATGGAACTCAACTGAGCACTGTTAGGACCAGCAAATTCAAGAAGTGCATACTGTATGATATCTTTTAGGGCAGAAACTCATGCTTATAATGCTTCCAGCCACACAGAACAAGTCATGTATATCCATATTTACACAAAAGAATTACCTTGAGTTTTATTTTTTTAATAGTTTTCCCAATATCTCAAATAAACTACTGCTATACATTTCAAAGTATAAGAACTATCCTATCTAATTTTACATTCCTGCACTCCTATGACCTAGAAAGGCTCTGATTTATGAACTATGAAGATGAGGAGTTATCTGTAGCACAAAACTAAGGTGTTAATCCTTTCGGTACCTATTACTGTGCCTTATTAGAGGACATGCTAAATACATATTAAAATGCTAAATAAATATTAAAAAACAAATCTTAAATTGTTGGCTTGCTTTTGTTTTTTTGGATCATGTAATAAAAAATATCATATCATTAGACAACCTCACTGTGATTCAGGTCTCACCTTGCCCATTCACTACCAGCTACACAGTCAGGAAAAAAGCATATATAAAAAGCACACAGGTTGCTTCAATACCTATGCTTTCTACCTATCATTTGGTAGATAAGTGCATAGTTTAAATACATATGTTAAGATTATAAAAGAAACTGAAATTTGACCAAGGGATGCAATTATTCTCAATCCTAGAATACAATTACTCCTTTTTCTTTTCCTAAAAAGAACATGTGCAGCCTGGTCTATAGAATGGGTTCCAGGACAGCCAATGATACACAGGAAATCCCTGTCTTAGGGGAAAAAAATGTGCTTTTAACCTCTTAATACACCCACATCATCTTTTCATTATATTTATACCAAGTTTATTCTAAAAAAAAAATAAATAAAACAATGGAAAATAAGCAAAGAGAACCATATCTCTCGATAGAAATGTTTTTTGCCATTTTTTTGGTCTGAAGGATTTAAAATATGGTCCTATGCATATCAGGCTAGCACTCCATCACTGACCTATTTCCCCAGGCCCCTTTCTACTCTTTATTTCGACACAGGGTCTCATTAAGTTCTCCAGACTCAGTCTTAAACTCATTGTGTAGCTCAGGCATATCTTGAACCTGTAATCCTCCTCCCTCGGCATCCCGGGTAGCTGGGATTACAGGTCTTCATTTCCATGCATATAAGAGAGAAAAATATTAAAATATTTTTATTTTATAAACTAATTCTCTTATAAAACAGGAAACTTGAAAACTATTGACTTTCAAGTATTAAATGAAGAGCAGTAAATAAGAGTTAAGTTTTGTGGGATATTTGACAGTATTGTGACACCCGAGACTGTGTTAATAAAGTTAAACTTGAATCAAGGGGGTAGAGCCAGTGACTACCTGACAAGAACTAGTCATAGAGTTTACGGAGGACCTAGAATACTAGAGAGGAACAGGGAAGGATTTGGCGACTTCTTTTTGGTGTAGGAAGTATGGAGATAAGGCCAGCTGGTCGCTCCTCCACCGCTTCCCTTATATTTGGGTTGTGAGCCTAGCCTTTAATGGCTAAGCCATCTTTCCAGCCCCCTCCACCGCTTCTCTAATCATCAGGTTTTCACCCCAATATCTGACTCCCAAGTCTTTACTGGTAATAGGACAACTTAGATAAACATAACAGTTAAGTAAGAATAGCATTTCTGTTACAGAATGTCAGAATCTGATCTAAAAGCATGTGTTCATAAGGAAACTATTAATAAACATTAAAGAATTCTACCAAGGTTACTATAAGTAGATTTTCAGACAATTAGTATACCAACATACCAAGGTTCCATTTACATCCTGACTCAGGTTCCTCATCTCCCCTACAATGAAAGCAACCAGGTACGTGCTCATTTTCACACTTTCAAAAAACTCATCCTTAATAAGTCCTTCTTCTGCAGGGACTGAAGACTTCTATAACCAAAGGAAAAAAGATGTCAGTTCTGTAATTAAAACAATCAATGACATATCTACTGAAAAACTAAAAAAAATCATATAGGCAGTAATTGCATTTTTTAATTTTTCAACACAAATTTCTAGAGAGAAAAGCTCCTTGTTTCAGTTTCTTATACCACCCTTGATCAAGAGGAAACATTGAGTACAATGAGAACCCTAATATGGCTCCCAATATATTTAAGTTACAAGGAACAGTGGTTTTGTCTCTCCATTTAAAAATTGGAGCAAAACTCAAACCCTTCCCCCACCCCAGAACCTTAGGATAACAGACTTCAAGAAAGAACTTTAGCTAAGACATCTTTTAACATGATCCAGTGCTCCATGGAGAACCCCCAGGAAAACTTAGTGGAATCAAATATGTTAGGTCACTAGAGAAGTCTGCAACAGACTGAAGGTGGAGAAACGACAGCAACTCTCAGGATTTCCTAACCATGAATCAGGTTATACTTAGGGGTATTAGACAAGGAGGTGCCTGCCTCTTTAAGAAAATGATTAAGGTGAAGAGTTTGGCTATGAATAGGGTTATGACAATGAAAGAACATGTTGTCTACTATCAATGGGGTAGATTGCATTACCTGTCTGTGGCTATTCCTCACCCATAGCTACACAAGTTCTAGGAAGCATCACATAGACCACACACTGCCGTTCAGGTCGACGCAAAAGGAAACCTAAGTTCTGTTTATCATAATACTGCTCTGCTTGGTGTTACCCCTACTACCTCCCACACAATGGCTCCTGCTTTTGTTGTCCATCTCTTCATGACAACAATCCAAAGTTTCATTTGCCATAACACCAAAGCTAATCACAATCCCTCACTCTCAAAAGTGCTTAGAAGAGAAAATGCGTTATGTCTCAAGTAATTTTCTGGGCTTGTACTAGTTCATAGTGTTAATATTTGTGCAACCATAGAAGAAGACACTTCACACCTCCTACCCATGTATTCTAAAACTTGCAGGGTCTTCTCCTTCCTCGAGTGTTCCTCAGACTGACAAATTTTCATTTTTATGTAACTATCTTAGAAATACAGACACATATAAATCTAAGTATTCCTACCAATAGTACAGTAAAGAGAAACACAACTGTTCTCGGAGATAAGAGATCCACCCAAAGATTTTGCCTTCATGTCACAGTACCTTAGGCATATTTGATAATGCAATGTGATGCTCATTCCTTGTGATCTTGATGATAAATGTAGCCTTAAATGCTGGTTCATCAAAACAGGGAAAAGCAGATCTTGCTGCCAGAGGTTCAAACTGAGTTGCTGCAAAGTACCTAAAAACAAATGAAAATTCAATACAATAGTTAGTGAGTGTCTCCTACACAGGGCACTATGCCAAGCACTAGGGGTGTGAAGACAAATACATTACAATTCTAAAGTTTAAGGACCCACAATTAACTAAGAGAGACAGAAGTCTAGCAGTCTTCAGATCATATCCTAGCAGTCAGTGGAAGCACATGAGTAGGATCAAATGGCACAAAACAAATTTTGCTGGAGTTGAAGACTCTGTAGAGAAAGTAGTACAAAGTCTGAATACCAAGAATACTTGATAATTGCTACTAAACATCTGGGTTTGCAACACTGCATCTCAAAACTACAACATTCAGTTTCAGGAAAATAGAAAAAGTTGTTCTTTAACAGTACTCTGCTTTCATTTTTCAGAGATAAACAGAAATGACTTTCTCCTTTCTATACCACAAAAGCAGCAGATAAGGCTATAGTACATAAAAAGAAACTGAATTACAGGTCATGGAAAAAGCACACAAAGAAGCAATTGCTAATGGAAGGTTTTTTAATCAATGAAGAAAGCTGATCTCTATGTGGGAAAACCACATAAACAGTATCAGGCAAGTGCAACTCTCTTGTACCCTCTTATATATCAGCCACAGGCACTTTAGTCATGACACCCTCTGTTCCTCAATCCTTAGACTCCACTTTTAGAAGATAAGCAGAAAAGAGAAAATTGGATTTGGAGTCTACATTAATTACCCATATGACTCTGTAAAATCTGTAACCTGTATCTCACTCAGTTTTGTATCATATATATAATAAATAAGGCAGAGCTAGCCGATAAGAAACAAGTAACCGGGCCAACAGAATTATATCTAATACAGAGTCTCTGTGTGTTATTTGGGGCTGGTGCGGCGGGACAAGACTGGCGGCGGGCGGAAAAACCGTACTCGTTACATGACTATATATCCTAACATTCAAAGAAAAACAAAACACCCCTTAAATTATTGTTAAAGCAATACAATATTTCACACATGTGTCTCTGAGAATGCTGCTTTGAAGATACAATGTCTTCTCTATTCTGAATACTTAATACATATTCTTTCTTTGTGACTATGTTTGCTTTCAGAAAAACTTGTTAACAGAATTTCCTCAAGTTTATTTGAAGACAGGAATTGGCTGGAAATTGAATACAAGAATCCTAAGCACTGGCAAAAACAACATGTAAAAGAAAAGTGTGAACTGGAGAAGCAGGTCAATACAGTGGTTAAGAAACAGGCTTGAGTTTCCTTTTTGCCATGTACCTTTTTCCTTGGCTATTATAAATATATTAGCATTTCTTAGTGAGTATGACAAGGTAGAAGACTAAAGAAACATAAAAAGCTCTAAGCAGTGTCTAGTGCTTTAGTTCCCTGTAAGTACTGGTTACTCTTATCCTTAGTTTTTGAAATGCAGAATTGAACATGCTAGGGGAGTAAGAGCTGTGAGAAAAAACAAAGGCCAGATAATGAATATCTTCAAACTATCAGAAGAACTGCAAAAGGAGTATACACCAAAGGCCAGCATGACATTTCTACTAATGGAAATAACTGCAGAGATAAGAATAGGCAGAGATTACATTTATATCAGTGTGGAAAGTAGGTAAAGTTTCCGGACCACAAGCAGTATCTATTCAAAGCATCAGGCATGATTTTCCAGGCAACAAGAGTCTTGGTGGTATACTGGTGAGAAAAGGTGCCTTCCAAGCAACAAGAAATGCATCCCCCTAATCATTTTATCAGTTTAAATATTTATAGCAGGGGGTAGTATAAAAGTATCCAGTAAAATAAAAGTAAGGCCCTGCTCCAAATGATGTGACAGACTTTGAAGGCACCCCATGGAAGGCCTCACCCTCCCTGGGGAGCAGAAAGGGGATGGGATTGGGGGGGACAAGGGAGGGCAGGAGGGTGCAGGAACTGGGATTGACATCAAGCTTGTTTCAAATTTAAATTAAAAAATACAAACAACAAAAGTAAAATTGTGAGACACACACCCACATAAAATTTCTTACTATTAGTAGTTTTCAGATATTGTGAAAGTAAGACTGATTTAAACTTTTATCAAGATATTTAAATTCTATCAAGACACACAATCATTTGGGGCCTTCACTGTTAGCAACAAGTAGGTAAATAAACTTATATTCTGTTCTAAAACTTCAGCTTAAAATACTATTTTATAGCTGATCCTACATTCCAAACAGCTGGACAAAACAGCCCTACAGACTACAGCTAGGATATCTGAATCTTCTTCGAATCCCTCAAGACAGCACCCCTTATCAGCAGGAAGTAATTTGGAAAGAACGACGCCCAAATTCCTAAATATTGTGTATAAATGTTTGTTTTCATTTAATTGGACTTTGTTATATAAAATTAAATAAAAAATTATATATAAAAAAAATACTATTTTATAGTCTCTACTTCTTAGTTTTAAGGACCCACATAGTAAATTCAGTGTCTTGAGTAGAAAAAAAAAAAAAAAAAGAACTAATATATTCTTTTTATTTTCAGTTAGTGAAATTACTCTTTTAAAAAAACATATTTTCTTTCAATGAACTGAAAATTTTAAAACGCTGAAACATTGAACAAAACAACAATATATTATATATTAGCCAACTGGCCAGTGTCAGTAATTCTTAAACTTGTGTACAGAGTATTTTGAGTGTATTATGTAAGAATGCTCTACTAACATAAAGCACATATAGTCTTTGTGCAAAGAGATGACATTATCATTATTTATTAATAATCCATTATAATATGCACTATATCTTTCATGAAACCCATCTATGCTATGGCTAAGAAGAGTAAACAACAAAGTATGATACAAATAGGCTGTGGAATACTCTTACACTGTATATCATTTTTTTTTAATTTTGAAATATGATTCTTTCCTACATTTTTAAAGATTACACAAACTAGCATTTTAAAAAGTAAACCAGTAAAGAATAAGGACATGAAGAATGATTGTGTATATATGCCACATTTCATACCCTCTTTCTCCAACTCATAAAATAACTCCTAAAACTTCTGCCTGGCATCAAGATAGTCCATACCCCTCAATCTGTTCCTATAGCTTCAGGGAAGGGTGACACTATTCATCTCATAAAACAGGAAAAGCTCAATAAAAGCTTGTTAGTCTGTAATAAATAGAGAATATAGCTGGGCGTTGGTGGCACACATCTTTAATCTCAGCACTCAGGAGACAGAGGCAGGCGGATCTCTCTGAGTTCAAGGCCAGCCTGGTCTACACAGAGAGAGTTCTAGGACAGGCTCCAAAGCAATACAGAGAATCCTGTCTCAAAACCCCCCCCACCTGCAAAAGAAAAAAAAAAAAAAAAAACAATATAATCTTCTTTCATCCCCTTCTACCACACACTTCTACTCTCTTCCACCACAATACTCACTCCGAGTTCCGCATAAGAGAACAGTATATTATTGCATATTACCAATTACCATTCTATTTTGCATGTAACTTCCTAAATTTAAAAACATTTATGGTGTGGGTGGAAGAATCTGCACTGCAGAAGTTACATGCAGAAGATCACAGAACAAGAAACATTTAGCAGGTTTACATACTTTTTCTCATTACTTTTATCTGTGTAGGTGATGCCATAAAATCCATAATAAGAGTTAGATATATTTGCTGAATACTCTATCTTCAAGGTGTAATTGTGCCCTGCTAGAAGGGCTTCAGGTGCAACAATGGCGATTTGTTCATGATAAGGATATTCTAGGATTTCAACTTGTTTTTCTTGACTTGAAACTGCTGACATAAATGTCACTCTTGAAATATTATGTCCTGTGCTATGGAGAATGATATTCCATGTGGCTTGAAGAGCCTGAAGTGAAATTGTCACAGAACCCCTGAATGTCATTGAGGTTAGGTTTGGATGTAGGCTAAGTTCATAGCGCTGAGGCATAATGGCAGTGGGAAGCCTAATTTGTGCCCATGGAAACAATTTCCCATTTGTGGCAAGTGGCTGAATTAGTTCCGTTGACTGGTTTTTTTTGTGGCAGCCTTCTTTGGTAAAAGTACATCTAGGCAGTAGATAAATCACCAGGATTACAGAGACAGCAACCACGATGACAAAAACACAGACCACTAAGGTCCTGGCAGAGGGTAGTGAACAAGAGCCGTCTGGACTCTGCCTGTAGCCCGTTGCACTGTTTCGAAGTCCTGAGCTTCTGTTCATGAAGGACATGCCCAGCAGCTTTGCAGATGACTCATAATCCTCTTCGTCCTCATCCATCTCGTGCTCACCAAGACCTCGCACCAGTAGCCTCGAACCCCGGGGCTCATATTCTACTTCATCAGGTTCCAGAGGATGTAAACAAGGTTCTTTGGCTAAATCTACCACATCCGGTTCTTCTTCAAACATGCTGTTTTCAATCATATTCCTTGGAAGCTGAAGTCGATCTACAAATATAAGACAAAAAGATAAGACAGGAGTTGGGGAGAGCTCATAATACAATGTTTCTTGGAAACACTAAATTTAGTGTTTTTTTAATCACTAAGACTTATTTCCACCTTAAAGCCATTAGAATTAAATAGAGCCTTTATGGAATTCTTGAATTGTACATTAAAAACTCAAGTATATATTTAAAAAGCATACGACAGTCATGAACCAAAAAAGAGAAACAAAAACACTAGCAAATGGGCTAATATTAAAGGAAGATGGTATAATGCTAATTATTTTTCTGTCACAGATTTTTTTCATTGTTATTGGTCACTAAGTGAATAAAAATACATCTGATAGTGAAAAAGAGTGGCTATTGTATCTGTATAGAAGCTTACTGAATTGTATATAGATTTTAGGCCTGGCTAATTTTGGTGTGCGATATTTATTAAATTCTTTTTTTTTTTTTAAAGCAGCTGTGATTTTATAGTACTTTCTTTCATACAGTCCCACCCACTACTCCGGGTTCCAGGCTTGACCTTAGGGTATGGCACTCTGGCCATCTCTGCTCATGTTAGGACTGAGTGGGTCCAAAAGGACTGTAGTCAATGCCTTTCTTCTGGAGTCTAAACACTTGAATCCTTGAATTCTTGGCCAAATACAAACCAAGTTGTAAGACCTGTGTGGGTCTTCTTCCTGAGTCCTATTCTATCCTAGGCAAATTAGAAATAGGTATACCTGCTTCTAGGCTTAAAAGACAGCTTATCAAGTATATGGGCTATGGTTTCCCTCAGGAGAAGGGTGTTTTTGTACCACAGAAAACTGAAAGAAGAAAATTATGAAATTTTGACAAGCAAGAAATAGAAACATGGACAAAAAAAAAAAAACACTTAGGAAATAGATCAAATTAGGTGACTGTAGTACAGACATGTTCAATAATTAAAGTTAAAAAAGAAACAAAACAAAACAATGAATGGACTTAACAGCAGCGGGTAATAGCAGGAAACATGAACGTGACAGGGCATTAAAAACTACCAATTTAAGGAACAAGGGGTCTTAAAGGAGGCCTAGAGATACTTCAGGGATTATGAACAGTGGCTACATTTCATCCCTACTGGACACCAACTCTTGAGATCACTGCTAAAATGGCATTTGCATCACATTAGTAGATAAATTCATTAAAAAAAAAAAACAAAACAAAACAAAGAGTTCAGAAATTCACTTTTTCCTTGGGACCAACAAACACTTAAACACTGATTTTCTTCTTCTTTTTTAAAGATGTACAGCAGTGTTAATGTAGAACCTCAGTGACTATGGATTTATATATTTTTTTATGGGTATTTCAATGTTCACATTTCATACTGACCTTCTAGGTATTTGCCAACCAGCTGCCCTGACATGAAAGATGCTACAATTGTTCCTAACACCCCTAGGGATTGGGTGTACCTAAAGCTATGCTCATTTGCCTTTATATAACAAAAAAGGTAACTTGCAGAACCCATGGGATTCACCCATAGGTACAATGGCACGTCCATGGCAAATTGGAGTCAGAGACAGAAGGATCTACCAGAAGCAGGTGGTCCAGAAAGCCTGAACTGTACAACCCAACAGAAATAGCACAATACTCTGCACAAGATGAAAAGAGATAACCGACTCCTCAAAGCTATCATCTAATTCCGCATGTAGGCTGTAGTACATGCACGGCCTCATTCACACACACATATATCATACACAATACTCACACTTTCACACAAACAGAATAGTACTAAGTAAACTTTAAAAAAAAATGTTTACGGTCTGGTGAGATGACTCAGTAGTAAAGGTCTTGCAGCCACGTCTATGACCTGAGTTTGAACCTCGTGTCTCACAGTGTGGAAGTACTGAACCAAACCAACATGCAAAGGATGTTCTCTGACCTCCATTTGCAACATCCACTCCACACACACACACAAGCATACATGTAATTAAAAATTTTTTTTCACTGAATGTTTATAGCAGTATTTTCATGAAGCAAAGAAAGAAGGAAGGAAATGGCAAAAGACTACTCATCCTTTTTATCCTTGTATCTGGGGTTGGGTACTTACAAAGGAAGAAAAAAGATTACATGGCTCTCTGAAAGCAGAAAGCAGGTAGCTCTGACTAGGCTCCTGAGAGTGTATCCCCTCATACTGGATGGCACCACAATGGCAAGAACAAAGAGGAAGACAGGAAGACAGCCAGAGCAAGGGGGTGTTAGGCTCACTTGTTCTATAACAACCCTCTCTGCAGTGCTAACTCTGGATTCCAGGAAAAGTACATTATTCCCTTCCAAGGATAGTTCCCTCAGCCACCTAAAGGCCTTCCAAAGTCCCACTTCTTAAAAGTTACATCACCTCCCAATAGCACCAAGAAACAAGTTCCCAGGAATTTGTACACCTTTGGTGGGTAAATCACTGAACAAAGCTGTTTAGCAGCAGCAGATGGGTTTTTACCTTAAATATAGAAACATTCAAAATAAAAGGAAGACAAGAAGGTTACAGAATTTTAAATAAATATTTATCCAATGTAAATTATATATATATATGTATATGTATATGTATATGTATATATGTTATTCCTGAAAGATAGAGCTTGGGAATGCGGGATATTTTTATTATGCAATTTTAATTTTATACGTAAGTGGAATAAACTTTCACACATATACAATAAACATGCTAATATAGAATGCTAGTGAATTAATGAAAAAAACAATATTGTTGGCTTAGAGAAAAATCAGGAAACTAGAACCCAGGATAGTATTTGCTATTTCTCTTTTATGGGATCTTTTATTAGGAAGCAGAATTTTATCTTTACTACTTAAATTTTTATAGTCCTTGTAACTTGGCTTAATAAATGAAATGAAGTAGAAAACCTTTGGCAGAATTTTTAATGCTAGGCCTTGGGAGGCTATGCAAACTTTGCTACTCATTACTACTTTTACAGCTCTAGAAGAGGGAATCCAAGCTAGCTAGCTTCCTTGTGGGTGGGGGAACCACATTAAAAGACATCCGGCCAACAGCCAGCAGCCATCGCCAGATTCACGAGTGAAGCTGTCTTAGAAACATCTAGTCTCAAGTCAAGGTTACAGCCAATGACTGCTTAAGAGTGACTTCAGACAAGAACAAAAGAAATACTCATCTAACCCAATCCAAATTGTTGAGCTAAAGAAATATTACCGAATAAAATGGATACCTTAAACCATAAGTTTTAGGAATTCTATGTAATAACATATGATCTCCTTATTCCTTACATAACCACCAATATTTCAGTGATCTTATTTTCTGAGGAACTCGAGGTCTACACTGAGCTACATGCCCCTGAATTAAGAACAATTTATCCCTGAAGCCAAACTTAAAACACACTGCACATACCAGTTTACAGTTCCATGGAACACCTGAGATGGCAATGCATTGCAGGGCCTCAGACTCAACTCAGAAACAGGAAAGAACAGAACATTTGTCATTAGAACAATCATTTTCTACACAAAAACTCCTGAATACAGATGTGGGCTTTTCATCCTAAGCCTAAGGGGTTTGATGTGTATAATTTATCAACAAGACTATCTTACCACCCTACAAATGATGGTGAGGCAATAAGACAGACTTTCATTCTCTCTCATTAAAATTAAGAAATTAGAACTGGACATGGTGGCATACACCTCTAACCCCAGCACTTGGAAAGCAGAGGCAGATGAATCTCTGAGTTTGAGGCTACTCTGGTCTACAGAGTTAATTCCAGAACACCTGGGGCTATGGAGAGAAATCCTGTCACAACAACAAGAAATAAACAATCATCTAGAGTCTCCTGAACTGAAACTTCAAGTTTGCTGTTAGAAAACTAAGTGCTGTTGTAAGAAAGCAAACATTGGGATCTTAAATAAGCCTTTAAAGAGAACCCTAAGAATTTTCATGCATAAAACAATTACATTTGTTGAAAGCTATTTACTAAAAATGACTGGAACATTTTTATAAATAATTATTTTTATTTTTCAGATTGTAATTACATTATTCTCCCTTTTCCACTCTTCCCTCCAAACCTTCCCATGTACCATCCCTATTCTCTTTCACACTCATAGCCATTTTCTGTCATTGTTGACTAACATATATGTATGTATGTATACACACACACACACCTACATATAAAAATACAACCTGCTCAGTCAGTAAACTTTAAATTCTTTACTGGAAGATGGAAGTGAAACAATTCACTCCACGCAGGCTTAGCAGAGTAATTGTGAAAGCAACCACTTTCTCAGAGTCACAGGAAATGGTTAAGCAACCTCAGAGCACTCATTTGTTTTTGTATCACAAATATTTTTAAAACTATTTTCAAGTAATAAGATATCTTAGAATTGTCCAAGTATTCACAAATGCAAGCAAGTCCACTATTGCATTATAAGTTACTGCTGTTTGAGATATTCTTATTCCTTTTTCAAAAAGCAATGGAAACTCATATTTTAATACTTTTATACCAAAATAGACTTAAAATCTAATCAGAAAAATAAAAATCACAGTAAGAGTCAAACTTACAGGTAAAAACTAAACAACAAAGTTCAATACCAATCTAAGACAAAACAAACCAGAAATGAGGGGTGGATTCGTATCTTTAGAGAATGCTCATCTTATCATTGCTGATATTTTTTTAGAAAACTAAACTCTGTTATTTCTTTTCCTCCTATACTACTTGTTGATTTCTGGTATAATCAAGTAAGTATCTGAGTGAGATACTATAATCTAATGTTTACTAAGGGATAGATAAAGCTCCACAAAATTCTTAAATCTCTTTAGAAAATCTTTTAATTACATATCACTATTTTCCATTTCTTTTTCTTTCATATGCCTCATTACAATTAACAACTTAAAGTTCATAGAAAACCATTCCACATTGATTTTGCTGTTTAGTTTTCTTTAGACAGGGTTTCAGTCTTGGCTCAGGCTAGCCTTGAACTATGTACTCTATGGCTGGCCTCAATCTTGTAGTGATAATTTTTGCTTTGACCTTG